TCAGAATACTGACTATACATGCAGTCATACTTGAGTGCTTATTACTTTGGCACGTATAGATTCAATCTCAATCTTTTCCCCTTCTCTGTGACTCAAACTGTAACACCCGTAATAAGCAACCGTGCCTGCGTGCAGAGAAATGACAGTCATTTTCAATCAAACGTAAAAACCACTCCCACTTTGACACCCTTACACCCTAATATCATTCATATTAACATCCCTGACTAGCAAGTGAGCTTTTTCTGTCAACTTGACACAGAGAGAGAGATAAAGACACAGAGTGTGTTCCCCCTTTTCTATTTTTGGACTGTCAGCATAAAAAGCTGTTTTAACACTTTTGTATTTTGACATTGGCTTTTGTGGCTTGACCTTAGGTTTTGAGTTTTGTTGGGTTGGGTGGCCAATAGATTCTGTTATTTGAGTAGCTTAACTAAGTTTTCCCTTGTGTTTTCCTCTGTGTATGGATTTGTTGTGGCTTTATTCTCCGACATTATTGAGTTTGTTATGTTCACACAATGTGAGCAAAAAAGAACAACATTCATTGCTGCCGTAAGTGTAAGCTGGTAAGCTGAATGATACAGGCTTTCAGGTTCACAGCCCCCATTCTTGCAATTCTACTACTTTCAGTGTAATAATGTTTATTTCCGTTTATCTTGTAAGGGCTCCCATTGTGACTCGCAAAGCCTTTCACCTGGTGTAACACCACAATTAGCAGATAGATTTCAGGTCCCAGTGAGTATACTGACATTCGCTCCGAGAGCAGTCATGTTCTACAGATGTCTGTTTAAACGTTCATATTCAATAACATGGTGAAAAGTTGAACACTACAGTACTTTATTTTTACATTTTATTCGGTCTAAACGGATGGGAATTGGCTTTTTAGTCGCAGCAATGACACTCAGGAACATTTGCTATCCTGGCTCCAAAATGGTGGAATGAGCTCCCCATTGAAATCAGGACAGCAGAAAGCTTACACATCTTCCGGCACAGACTAACAACTCTTTCGACTCCACTTCGAGCGATAGAATTACCAACAAAGCACTTATATACTAATAAAGGTCTGGCTTATCTAAAGCTAGTTGAGTAGCACTTGAAATGTTTTGGCTCTATGAAACCTGATGTACTTATATGATTCTGTTTTCTTCAAGTTTGTGTCTTCTTCGTCGAATGCACATTGTAAGTCGCTTTGGATAAAGGCGTCAGCTCAATGCAATGTAATTTGGAGTAAAATAGAAAGTCGTTGACCAACATATGCCATTATAAAAGTATTTGTGGTGGCAAATCTATTACCGGTTGAAACACTTGCACCTATTCATTTAGAAAGTGCAAGAGCTATTTAAGGGCAAGTTTATAGGACTAACGGCCATTTATATATACCATGGTGTTTATGTACCACTAATGGTTTCCAGCCAAAAACAAACAGCTCTTTCCTACTCTTTTTCCGTTTTGGATACACTTTTACATTTTGCTATGTAATACAATACATCGCCACCACATGGGCGTAATCATGCAATGGCCTTCAACAGTTTTCCATACATCCATGTAGACGAATGTCAGAGTTTTGCCGATAGCTAGAGGCGAACACAATTTGATGGAGGCAGCTGCTTAGTCATTCTCTATGAAGGATAATCCATTTTGACCTGATGCTCAATTAATAATCCAAATAACTATTCAATTTAAAATAACTTATCCATATTTAATAAATCAGGTTACTACAGATAACTATCGTCATACTGCTTGAGGGCATTGAAACGCACACTTAATAAAATAAAAAAGCACCTCACTGCAATATTAATCTTCTTTTTTACAACACCCTTGATCCCTAAATGCCTGTAGAATGGAAGCAAAGGAGCATTGTGTCCTCCTGTTCAAGGATATTGTGAATCTGCAAGTAATTAAGTTCATATCTGGGCCACATGAGTTCCCTATATGTCTCCCAGACGGATGAGCAGGGTCCCTGACAGCTGTGGGATGTTATGGAGGAGGAGAAGATTTACTGTAAATTAGTCATGTCTAACCTTTGACTGATGGACTACGTGATGAATACCCCTGTCAACCTGCCCTTCCATCTGCCTTTCCATCCATTTCTTCCACCTTGCCAGCACACACTAATAATAGACTAATAGATGCTACTGGACGTACCCTCACCAGTTGCAGAGTATATTTTGTCCTTGTCACAGACAACTGGGAATAAGTTGGGAATTAGTCGATTCAACAGATACATTAAATGGTTAATAATCAGCTTATACAGTATTGTCAGACATAATGTTAGTTCTTTAAGTCTAAACTTGCATAAACATATTTGCCAATGGTCCTTCACAGAACGATGCACCATGTATCAAAAGCACTCGTAATACATTGATTTAATTAGTTGTCTTTTCCAAAAAGAACAAGAAATGTATTGATGTCAACCTGTGATGAGTTTCTGTATTTTGTTGCCAAGCTGTTGTTTGGAACCTGGATATTGAGATTGCTCTTGTAGTGTGCACATGGCCGTTGTCCAATGATACTGCTGTACCTGCGCTATAATTTTGGAACAATCCCATATGTTGCTGCCTCCATAAAAGATTCTAGAAAATCTGATCTAACTGCCTTTCTTATATTTAGAAGTTGATTTGTACTCCTTGCATGCTCCTCTTCTCCACCCAGGACTGTCTAAGTGCTGCCGTGTGCTTTTAAGATAATCAGAAATTCAGTCCACATGGCATTTTGCATAATATTGTTAGTTATCTTAAGAATCACGTTTACATTTTCAAAATGCTTTTGACAAAGATGAATTAGAAGTGTTTTGAAATCAATTAAACCAATTATCCAAGCAAAATACAGGAGCCAGCTCTTTTCTTCTTTGTCCTTGTACACTGTGAGACTGACTGTTGAGCGGCCTGACCAAGCAAGGAGGCAGAGGCAGAACGTCCAAATACAATCCGGTGTGGGCATTTATTCAAATCATGGGCGCATGATTCACAGCCTCAATTGCTGTCCACCTGAACACAGTCAGCAGCCACAAGGATCTCACACACACTACCTGTCCACTGACAGGGAAAACAGAGCCTAAATACACTAACACACTAATCAGGCCAATAAGACACAGGTGGGGGGGAGGAGACAACACAGGGCACCAGGTGAACACAATCAACAACAATGAAGCTATACAACCCGTAACGGAGGCCGAGATCTATGGGCCCAGAGATCACCTCCGTGACATACGCACATGAGAAAAGACAGACAAATGCACACGGTGTTGTTACCTATGGTTGTTACCCATCTCAAAGAACCAATCCTCTTTGTTTATTATCTTCTGTCTGGTGGCGCAGACTGTGTTTTCTGGCTCCCTGTGGATTTTGGAAAATAAATCATCAAAAGTGTCATCCCACTATCCTTTATTCTCCCTCTTCGGGTACGAGAGCCGATGCAGAGGGATACTTCTTGCCTGCCCAAAACAACTGTTTCAAAATCACCTAACACGCAGTGCCTTACATTTGGGACATGCAGCACAAGGCTGCTTTGCAACCATGCATTCATAAAACAAATGCCTGAACACCACACTCATTGTTCAAGGGAGAATGGGCAGTACTAGCTCGCTGATTTGTGTAAACGCATTATTCAAAGTTGGCCCCTCTAACCCGGCTAAATGCCATTAGCCAGTGACTTTATCCATCTTCAATCTAGATGGCATATAGCCAATGTTTTGACTCAGACACCACTGATTACAGTTTCAACCAGGGCAGAACCGGTCCTGAGAAGAGAAGAGGCAGAGGAGTAGCGATGGGTATCGTTTGAAATGTATCGTTTCCGGTTCTTATCGATTCCCCGTTTCGATTCCCAAATTGTAAAAGAAAGAGGTGAAACGTTTAGAAAACAAAAATATCTTTATTCTTTTAAGCTTTAACTGACATTTAAAAAAATATATACATGCAATACAAATGTATTGCACAATAGCTGTGCTCTATTTCAACTGAGCTATGCCTGTGGCAAGCTATTAACAGGCATTACACTGTGCCTTGTCTTTTTCTTTTTTAGTGTAGTGGAGCCTCACTTTAGAGACTTTACCGCGAACCATCTTTGGTGTTATGAAGTGACTGAGTTCTTGAACTGTCTCCGGGAGGGCGGGGGGAGCCGCCCAAAGTGTGTGTGTGTGTGTGTGTGTGTGTGTGTGTGTGTGTGTGTGTGTGTGTGTGTGTGTGTGTGTGTGT